TTACAACTCTAAATTCATGTGTAAAGAATAATTTTGGGTACATTTTGCTCTAAAACTTTTGACCTAGACCACAGAGAAGAGTTATATTGAATTGTTACACTTCTAAGAGTCATAGGGAATAATCTAGCGAAAGTCCGAACTCGATACATGACCTAGGGAATGAAATATGTTGATTTCTATTATATTGAGCGCGCAGTTTTTCCTGTTCCCGATTCACTCGAAGTCCTATAACTTTTGTTCCTGTTGAACCAGCTCCCTGGAAATCTATAGCGTCCTTCCTTAATGTCCAAAGTACCCGTACACCAATCACCATCGCGCACTTTTAAAAAGAGTTATAGCGCACACGGACGGACGACAAGACAAACTACTAACTAAGTAAAGGATCTGATTATGCTCTTTCGTAGGCCGGGTGGTTTATTACTCCTAGGTCTGAGACATACTATAAATAAATTTGAATGTTGTACGAAATGTAGCAAAAAAATTGCAAACATTCTGACGGAAAGACCAACCTTAATTACATACCTATACCTATGTGCAAATTACGCACATTAATTCTGAAGAACAAAAATACTGTTTACTTTTAATAAAAACTTGTTAATTTGAGGGTTCAAAATTGTGCTAACCAACAATCAATTTCGAATAATTTCAATGCTACTTTGTTTTGAGGTACAACAATTTTATCATTACACGGAATTGTCTCACATTTGTGTCCCATGTAATAATTGCCTTGGACGCAAATGAAGCGAGCGAAAGGTTTCCGACACATAATCACAGTTAAAAGATAAGAAAATTTCCTTGCATTTTTAGCACCTCCCATAAATGCATTTGTCTCACAAGTTTCTCTGTCTATATAAAAGTTCGGTAATTTGCCGTAATGTGACGCTAAGATACAGACGTAAATATTTGCAAAACAGTGCCTCCGTTCTCCCCATAAAATTACAAAAACGGACTGTTTTTTTAATGATCTTTTTGTATATACTAATAAATAAAGAGCTAATGTATGCCTCTCTAATAGTAAAATTTTCATTTTTTGCTTTTTTAAGAAGAAATTGATCATTAAAAATCACTAAAATGTCGCAACTTTAACGCCGTATATTTTGTTTTTTTCGCTTGTTTTTAAAAAAATGGCATTAGAGAAGCACGGCGGCATTCTTGCTGAATCGATATCAATCAACACATCAGTAAAATACCTTTGTCATACCTTAAATTTATAGGGACAACGTAGAGATGTTTAGGCAGTTAATATACGGAGTCCTGATGCCTCTTAAGGAAAAGTCGCGGATACTGTCGATACGGTATACTTACTAGTGTGAAATTGTTGTGTTAGTTCCTACGAGTAAAAAATACGTTACTCATCTCTCGTGATAGTGGTACAAGCATATTACGACGCTTATTATTCAGAAAGTTTACGTTTGCGACACGAGCGAGCTAGCGAGCGAGTGGAGCTAATGATCCCGGGTGAATAAGGGTTATATGTGTTGTGACGTTATTTTCTTTACCGTATAATCTTTGCTTTGGCTTACATTTGAATTACTATGTGGAATCCCTCTCGAATAACATTATGCGAACTCTTACCTTTATATAGCAATCCTTACGCCATCTAGGTGTTCACATTATAACCCGATCCTTTATTTGCGATATAGTTTTCTTTTAAAAAAGCTTTTGTCTAGTATTCTGTTGATTGGCGCGGTTATTCTTCTCCCACTCACTGTCGACGCGCGCAGTCCTTGTTGAAGAACTCGATTCGATCTTGACTTGTATTTGAGCTACACGCCATTACACTTACTTGACATATTCGTCTACCTTTATTGGGATTAATTAGTGGTGTTGTACTAAGATTAGTGAAGTTTTCTCTTATCATCTTACTTCCAATTTCGCTGATGACGCATTGCTGCGGATTTATCTTACAAGTTTAAGGCCGTTTTGCGGTATGTTATCTATGACGCATTATCTTTTTATTTTAAATAATCTATTCTAGGCTACTTTCGTACTCCCTGAGTTTTCTTACTTATTATTTTGGTTTTACCAATTGCTTCCTGATTGTACATTTATATTTTGACGTGGAAACGCGAATACCCGATTTTCCATATGGTGCAATAGAATTCCATTGAAGTTTCGACGCCATTACAATCAAAAACGCTCTACATATTTCTACCTTACCGGCTGAAGAATTGACTGAAGAATCACCGCCATTTCATGTGAAACCGATATTTGAACTGCTGACCCAATTTTACGAAGTTCGTTGACCTACGATCCATTCTTCCGAAACGCAAGTACTTAATTAACGAGACGTGTGGAGTTAGTACTGTGTAAATTTTTAATTAACGTTATGTATTTTTCGTACTTCCGGGACTAAAGTAAGAACTTCACTCCTTTATGACAAGTACTGAAGTGTCACTTTTTGTCCCGCCGGGATTAAATTTAGACGAAAATCCCGGAAGGATGAAATTACTAACAAGGCAATTTCAGTAGGTTGTT